CCCACCAGCTAACCATTGCCATAATCAGACATTCTGGCGACTGGCTTTTGTAGGCAGATGTACAGATGAGGCTGGAGCTTTCCTGAACATCACTTAGAAGCATGCTAGCTATATAGGTTTCTTAATTTTTAGTTTTCTGTCATTTTTTCCACTCTCGATCTACACTGTAAGTAAGTTCAGCTCTCGTCCCTTGTCTGAGCCTTCATAACACAAGCATATGGCATGTTCCTCAAAATATAGACATTAGATAATGTACAACTTTGGGGGTTCATTTTTCTTGAAGAGAACAGCATTGAATTAATTCCCAATGTCTGATGTAATGAGGGAAGTCATGGCTGATATCTGGAACAATGATGACTGTGTCCATCTTTCAACTTAATTGGAGTTATTTAATTAAAGTCTTGAACGTCAGCATTTTTGACGTACGTGAACAACCTGTTGAAATCCTAGCCAATAAAATTTACTGAAGAGTGATAATTCCCACAGATTTATATGTGGTGAAAGGTGATCATGTTTACACATATTAAAACCATAATCACAAAATTAAAAATACCTTTCACAATTAATTGGGTCCCGAAGTCAGCAGTCGCGAACATCATTTGATTTCGTCATTAGTTTAAAAAAAAATCGACTGCAAAAGCATTGAGTATAATCAAAATCGATGTACAACTTTAAAAAAGAGTGCAAAAGAGCACCCCCAAACCATCATCATTTTTACGACTGGACCGATCACATTTTCTTCAAGTATGTTTCTGAAAATTGCAGTCCAAAATACCGTTGATGGCGATTTTGCGGCTTCTGTCATTATCTCGTGGTGCCATTAGAGAAACATTTCGCTGCATCATGGCCTGTTTGACCTTTGACATCAACCCGGATATTGCGCCCACTTTATCATTCGATATTCATGAACCCCTCCAAGGAATGGCAACGCTCCAGGATTTTTTCTCTTTGGACCAGGCTTCTCGAAAGAAAATCAGTCATACTGAATGACGTCAAAACAAAATGACGTCCGAGACATAAAATAAGATTCATGATCAAAATGTAATGCGCAGAGTTAATAATTTTAATGTAATTTTCAGCAGGGACATCTCCAAAATAAACGGCAAAATGAACATCGTGCATGGAATTTTCAAGCACTGCATGTGACAGCATTTTGGGCATTCTCGAACGTCATGCATTTTTGTCAAAATTCTAGAACGTCATCAAAATTCTGTCAAATATGACGTTTGCAACAAACATATTGTATTCATTATACATTTTTGATGCAGCCAAACTTAAAAGATAATTTTCGGTGGTTGAAAGATATAAGACCTGGCAGATATGCTGGTATAGTGAGAGTGATTATAAACGGTAAGAGAATGAAGAGAGCCAAACTTTTCTCATAATTTTCCGTGGATTTTGTGCTCCTTTTTTCATGGCTTATATTTTTAAAAGTTATTTTTTCAGGTGCTTTAAAATACATCAGTTGAAAAATATACTGAATTCTCCGTCTTGCTGAGAGAAGTTTTGAAATCAAGTCCTCTGGTGCAAACACTTTGATATAAAAAATTAAATGAATTCAACCCCATTTGGTTTGCACTGGTAGCCAACCAAATGTCCACATTATGCGTAATTATCCCCAAACAATGATTTTTTTTAATTATGAAGGTGCTAATTTGTATTTTACATGTTAAAAGTCACTTTTTGAGAAGTTTTGAAAAATGACATCCGGAGTTGCATTTTGGTCCATTTTATGAAGAACCTGCAACATCTGTGACCAGTGAAACCGTGGACGGGTTCTCAAGTACTGCTTTCTACTGGCACTTCTGAATTCTATGGCTTACTCCTATATCCAAACTTTCAGATTTCAGCGACAGGAGTCGCTTCACCAGATAAATCACTACAGTGGTACGCTCTCCCTACGCCTTGGCCTCCTCAAGAGACAGTTGTTCTTATGAGCATTTTACTTTTAGATTAACCCGAAGGTAATCCACATCTCGAAGCCTACAACGCCTTTAATAAATACATATGCTTGCTCACAGTAGAATAGACACTACATCACAATGTGACCGAGTCAGTTCCTTAGGTACCTGACAAGATACTCTGTGCATTGCTGTCCCTTCCTTCACATGGAACATCTAGCTACTGTTGTCCTGTGCCAGACCCCCTCGTCTTCAGGTCTTAGTCACAAACAACCCTTTTCTTCTCCTTCCAACAGGGTAGAGTTGTAGGGTGTGTAAGACCTACATGCCCCTCTCTGTTAACATTACTCCCGGCAATTCTGTCAGAATTGGTCAGGAAAGACATCTTTTCCTTATGTTGTTCAGACCCTCCTAATCCAGAAGTCTGACTTTCCTAGATCCCTTAAATCCCTAGCATCTACATTAGCAGCAAACAGTTCCCTACTACTCAAGGCACGATGAACAGTGTACATTGTAGTGGTTCAATTCAAACACCAATAAGTGCAGTAACGATTCTTTTCTTCTACTATAAGACTCAGAACTGCAGTTTTCAATCATACTTAGCAACTGTCTGCTGTCACAGTTACCTAATGTGCTCCACCATCGACTCCCATTCCTTAGACCACACATGAACTCCAGGTATTTCCTTCCTGCTTTGTCCTCTTCAATGTTTCTTCCTAATACTGAGTCCATATCTGGCTGGGACTCGTGACGGGCATATTCCTATCTTGATGATAGATGGCCATTTATCTCTTTTATGTCTTTTTGTATTCTGTAGCCATCCCACCACCTAGATGAGTGCCACTCTGCATATGTAGTGACTGTTTGGGTAGGTAGAGCGCCGTAGACTTCTCCCCACAGTAGTGTGGGTCAAGTCTACTAGAGAATACCTACCCAACCAGTCCTCTCCCGCCCGTCCTCCCCACTTGGCTACGACATTCCAAGTCACTTTCAAAAAGAAGGACGAACATGGTGGCATGACGGCAGTGCATAGTGGGAGGTCAAGGGGCACCATGGATGATACAGCGAATAGCTCTTGCGCATGGGAAATTTGTATATGTAGTGACTGGATGGATGGATTTTGGCTTGACTGCTTTCCATGCTTCTGCGATCATGTAGCATGCGTCCTTGAGAGTGATGGACTTCAAAACTGAAGTCAAGTCTGTGTCCACATTGTTGTCTAGTACGAGGCAGAGAAGATGTTTCCGATAGACTTTCTTAATGGCCTGCATCACACCGCAATCCATCGGCTGCATCTTTGATGTAGTGTTTGGAGGAAGGAATTGACATTGAATTCCTCCACAGTGGCTCACGAGGGGGTTCTTGGGCATGTGTCCAGAGCAGTTGTCAAGCAGTAGAACTGCCTTATGAGGCAGGTTATTCTTTGTCAGGAATTGTTTTACTTGTTTGACAAACTCTTGAAAGAACCAGTCCTTGAACAGTTTTGAGCCCACCCATGCATTTGCTTGGCTCTTGTATACCACAGGCAAGATCTTGTGATTGATGTGATGGAAACACTGTGGGTTTCTGGCCCACCATCGTAATTTTCAGCTTGTCACCAGTTTCATTGGTGCAGCAGAGTAGTGTCACCCGGTCTTTCGCCTGCTTGTGGCCCCGGTGCATTGCTCTCACCACTATGGGCGAGAGTTTTGTTGGGCAGCAGTCTCCAAAACAAGCCAGTCTCATCAGCATTGTAGCGCTGTTCTGACAACAGTTTTCGTTCATCAAGGTAGCAATGGTACGAGTTTCGGAACTCGGACATGGAGCCTTCACTTGGCGCGGACTGGCACTCTCCTGACATGGAGTTCGTGTTTCCCGTGCCTTTCTTTAAATCTTTTCAACCAGCCAGTTGAAGCTGCAAATACGCTGTCCTCACCGTAGATGCGTCTGTCGAAAAAGACAGCTTTCTCAGCAAGGATGGGCTCTGAAACCATGGCTCCTTTACTGCGCTGAGCCTTAAACCAAGTGAAACCAGCATTCTCTACTGCCTCACTGTCTGATTTCCACATCCTCTTTCGCATCATGCCAACCGGGTTGTCAGTCTGGGTTCCCAGAAATTCCTTGATCTTGTCCTGCTGCAACTTGTAAATTTCATTGACCGTTGAGCAGCCAATTCTATAATCTCGAGCGATAGCTACTTGCGAGGCTCCTCCATCAATTCTCTTGATGATTTCTTGCTTATCAGCAAGGGTCACAATCTTTCTCTTTCCCATGACGAGCTTGGATGAGTTCGGAATATGCAGCGGAAAAGCAATAAAAGTGTAGATGTGTACTCAAGCACTGTAATCAGCAGAGTGGGAAGATTGTAAGCTATTTTGGCCATTTGAACCTTTCAAAAGCGGCTGCTGTCTTCAAACTCAAAAATCAAAGCTACTGCTCAGAATCGATCTCTGCAGCTGTGGCAAATCTTGATGACTTGTTTATCAGCAGCACCCTCTTTAGCCTATTGTTAGTGCAGTGCTATTGGGCACGTGCAGTTTTCCTCTGTACCCGAATGCGGAGTCACAAAACCAGTGTCCATTCAATTCCATTGCCTGATTAATCCTGCGTGCTGTGGCCATATTAGCAGACGACTTTGAACACGTGCCAATGACTCACGTACCCAGTTTCTCAGCTAGCAAATTTTAATTAATTCTTCAACAACTAGTGGCTTTCCCTTCTAATCCTTGGGGAAATAATGGCCACTTGTTACTCTTCAGCATAAAAACCCTAACTGTTTTATCAAGTTGACGTTGGGGAATTACGAACAGCTACTGCATAATGTTCGGTAGGTTTTGTGTACAAAATATTGAATGTTCGGTATAAGGGTGTTCAGTATAGCGGCATTCCACTGTATTGTAATGCAAGAATTTGTTTATTTTTCTCTCCTTTGTTAATTTGGGTTTTTTTTGTAGTTCCGTGAGTTTAACATTATGAAGTGTTTGTGTGTACATTTTATAGTCTTGATTATTCTAATATAGGACACCAATTTTCGTAAGTGAACAAATTAAGCTCCCAACATTACTGAGGTTCTGTGCATACAAAGTTGATAAATGCTCTTCCCCTCTTACTTTTCTACAGATGTAAGTGCAATGGTCATGCCAGTGAGTGTATCAACAGCACAGGAATAGATAGTTCAGTGCGGCTTGTGTGCCGCTGTGAACATTTCACTGCTGGTGTGGACTGTAACGAGTGTCTACCATTCTATAATGACCAGCCATGGAAGCCAGCTACATCTGTTGATGCTAATGAATGCCAAGGTAGGAAAAATCACAACATGGCTTACGCACAATGTCCATGGATGCACTGCAGCCTCCCATGGCCCGCCGATGTGCGGCGCTGGTGGAAAACATGCGTAACAATGGTTCACAGCTGAATGCATATTATGACATTCATAGCCTGCTGCGGCGCACTGCCACTGATTTGCCTTGTATATTATAAGTCAGCTCTCGTTTTGGAAGGAATCGTCACAATTTAAAAAAAACACACATTTTTAGGGAACGTTAATTTGGACTGAACCTGGACTGAACGGATCTGTCTTAGGGACAAGATCATAAATACTTTGACCATTCGCATGCATTCCTTCCGTTATGCACACCCTCCTGTTCCTTTGTGTTCTGAATGACATTTCAGAATGCGTTCTTCACATTTCACAGACACGAGACACAGAGAGCGCATTGTTGTTATGTTCATGCTGCGTGCCTTTGCGAGCAAGAACGACAGCATCCCATCAGAGGTGTGGAGAACATTTTGGTGGGTTGGATGCTTGGAATAAAAACAGTGATTACGTGATAGGGCAGGACAAAACTAAAACTACAAGTGGTCCAGGTTTGGATGAAGAAATGCTGGTAGGATGATGAAGATGGGAAGGATTAATAATTTTGTTGGGTTGGATGCTCAGAATAAAAAAAATTCATGTTGGGGTGGGAAATAATAAAAACCACACAGGGATAAAGAAATGCTGAAATGTTGAATAAAACTAACGATTATGCAGGCGGCAGGGAAAAAATAAAAACCATGTGTATTTTATCCCACACGGTGTGGGATAGTATCATTGATAGCTCGCTGTACAACTGAAAAAGTTGAGTCAAAATTTATGCAATTTCTACTGTTTAATTCATTGCAATTCTTTTTTGTGAACTAATTTTCTCCAAATTCACAAATTCTTCATTAGAAAATCAACTTGCTACAAAGTTCTAGCTGAAAAATGGATTTTTCGCATGGTTACTTTTTATTCGTGAAGAAATTTTTGTCTCAAACCGGAACTGATTAAACCAATCTAGAACTAGTAAAAGCATTGTCATCATTTTCGTCGATCCTGTAAGTCCACATTAAACTTAGATTTAGGAAATAATTTTGTAGTATCTCAACACAAAAGGTGGACTACTGACAACATTTCACTGAAGCTTAAGGATTTTTTGGAGCTGCAGTATGACTGAATAATTTTCATGATCTGGAACTCGGAAAATGACTGTACCTGTACTTATACTAGAACGATTGTACGTACAGTGTACCACTCCAAGTCACAGTGAACAATCGCATACAACAGGAGGACCTGGCGTGCTGATTTAAAATAACTTGGATGCCTTCCTTTAGTGGAAGAATGCTAAAATTAGGTCCTGTAATGCCTGGAATTATTGTTGTCCTTTTCAGTTTTACATCGTGCTTGCAGAAACTTAAAGAGGCCAATAGCCAAACAGTGATCGCAGAAACTTTCTGTGGAGCCGTGCCCCAATTAATCCAATGGAAACAGTACTGCAAGTGTACTGTAACATGCCTTGTGTGATGAGTTGTTCCCAGACACTTTTGTGTTTACTGACACCTCAGTGCATGCCTTGTTATTTTTTGTGGCGTGGTACTGTGCACATTTTTATCAAGGCAATTTTGTCCTCTGCCTCATGGTAGTATGGCAGACTTTAATCAAAATGGTGAGAATAATGTGGGAGAAAGGGCTGTTGGACTAGCTGGGAAGAAATTTAAGGCAGGACACCAAAACGTTTTGACCCTCTGGATGCATCCATATGCACTTCTCCTGTTCTGCACACACTACTTAAATCTGAACAAAATGCCCATTTTCTCTGCATGTGAAATGGGTCCGTGAAAACCATTCCTCCAACAGACTTTTGTGAGTGGCTGTTAATGACTGTGTGTTAACATGCAGGAACAGGAAAAACTTGAAAGGTATGTGAAGTATGAATACATTTGGTGGGAGGATTAGACCGTCGCACTGTGTCAGATAGCTGTATGAGCGTAATTCTATCGCCATGGACATTTGGAGACAAGTTCTAAACATTGGTAATCAATTTAACTTACTTACAAAGTTATGTTTGTTACGTTACAAAGTTACGTTTGTTTGAATACTTAATTGTTTCTAGTAACATGCAATGTACCTTACAGGTAGTATGCACATTTATGAAAATTATAATAATACTTAAATTCCAAAAAGAAACAAAAACAGATAACATAGTTTCTCTTGTGTCTTGCTGCACCTTCAAGTTTATTCAATATTTTTATCCCGACTATCAGTCAGTGTATTGCATTGCATTTTGCAATGCAGTATCGCCCAAATGTTGCACACTTTCTAAAATAAATCACACATTGTGCGATTAAAAATACACAGGGCTTCACACTGTAATATGCTAGAAATGACGATTCGATTTACACATACAGCTGCGAGCAGAGTGACATGCATGGCCGGCTAGGCTCCAGGCATGGTGTGCATGCAGCATGTACTGTACATGTAGAGCACACAACAGAACACGCTGTCATCATTTCACGTCTCACAGTTGGACATAGCATTAAGCATGTCAATCGAAGTTGAAAGTGATGAAGATAATAATAGTGATAATTTGTAGAGTGCAAATTCCATAATTATGCACTTACCAATTAAATAAATAAGGTTACAGTGTACAAGTATACAGATGTAAAATTAATTAATGGAAGAGTGAAAACCAAGTTCAACTGACACTTGCTAGAATAAAACAGTGATTGATGTTGCATTTTGGACTAACGTTATGCTTTTGGTTATAGGGAAGATCGATGTAAAGCACAGTGCATCGTGTGCTGTCAGACTATGTATAAATTTTTAGAGTCCCCTTACATGTACATTGTGCCTTTGACTTTCACTTGCAAAATCCATAATGCCATAATACATGCTGTTGAACGTTCAGTGTCACAAAATTTCGTCCAAAATTCAAAAATGGTGATGTCCGGAATTTGGGCAAGAATTTAGCTGAGTGTTCCCCTGAGTGGCGCACTTAGCTCCACTTACCTAAGGTAAAAAAACATACTTCCACTTCCAGTTTCCCAACCAACTCTCATTTTTCGGTACAACCCAAAAGTTTTTATCGGCAAGTTAGAAATATAAATTTTAAAACTTTTTAAAGAATAAAAAATAAATAAATAAATAAATTTTGTCGTCTTTTCTGTCTTTACAAATCAATTTGGAAGTTCGTAGTGGGTCGACATTTTTGTAAAATCAGTATTTCTGAATCAGAATGTTGGGAGTTTTTCATTTCACTTACGATGAAATTCAAGGTAAACAATTTCTCCAGCTAGGCACTGGAGGCAAAAAACCATAGTGCACCAGATTAGGATACGTCAGCATATCCTTCCACAAGTAGGCCATTGCCAGTCACACAGGAAAGCCAACACAGCTGAATAAAGATCAGATGCTTTCAACAGTGCAATTGATGTGGTGCATTAGTAAAAAGGGGCAGGATACTCACGTGTATTCAGCCATTGATGTTCATCATGTGCAGCCATTTTGGGCAGATCCTATGTGCAGGTATTTTACCCCTCTTTTCAGGTACTTAGCGCCTTCTTTGCCAACATTTTCCAGCCCTAGACTGAGAACCCACTTGCTCTGAAATAATTTTGAAAGACCATTGTTGAAGACTTTGTTTTATTGTTTTCTTTTATATAGATATTCAGTGATTTCATGAAGTTATATTGTGAAAAAAAACTGCTACACACAATTAGGCTATTGCTTTGCAAACAAAATATTGCACAGCAGTTTTTGCTGTGCTAGTATTTTGAGGAAATTGAAAACTGATATCAATACCACTGATTTAGGGCAGATGGATTATGAACTCAAGCAATCTCAACATGGATCCTTAGGCGGGTACCCATGAGCACCAACAGATCAACAGTGGTTGTGATACCCAAGATCACAAGTTCAGATATATTGGTACCCAATAACCACTCAGCACCAACGACCGTTGTTTGATCATATTAGAACAAGCAATAAAATGTAAAACAACAAAGGTGCCCAGCACATGCAACTTGTTACACACCTGCGTAAATTAATGAAGCTTATCTAAAATCGCATGGCAGATGCAGTAATGATGAGCGAATAGCCTGTGTGGTTCTTCACAGGCTATGAATTTAAGACAAAATGTATGTAGCTTAATTTTCAGAATATTAGCTGCGGCTTATACATTGACTCTCACGCTGAAAAGTGTCTCTGCGGCTTATACACCAGACAGCTAATCCAGCAAACTTTGAAGGATAAAATCAGTCACAAAAGCTGTGCCTGGGCTACGCGCTCTGCGTGCTGATGGCGCAGTCATATTTTCGTTGCTTGCGTCTTACATAACTTGAATCTCGGAGAATAAATAAAAATTCAAGTTGTCTGGATATTGAATTATTAAATGGAATTTCCTGGGCCATGGAGTCACAAAACACATACATGAACTGTGTACGTAATCATAACAAATTGTACTTGCTCTGCTGTGATGGCAACATTTTAGTGATTATTTTATTGCTTTTTTTTTCATTATTGTGTATTTTTTGCACACAAATAGTTATTTTACTGAGATAGTTTTCTTGTTGTTACTTAAACGTTTCTTTCTACTAGTAAATAAAAATCAGCCGCTTAAATGGTACGTGTACCTAATACCTTCGTGTAGTAAATTTTTCACCAATCGTGTTCGGCATGACATGCCATAGAATCCCGGGCTTGTTAGGTTTCTGATGATGTCACTTTCTATGGTCACATGGTTATCGGAAAGAGTCAGCAATTGGACTGTCAATGAATAGGTCTGCAGTGGCGGTCAGGATAACCTGAAAGCAGGATTTGTCATGGTCATGGTCGGTGTGGGGTGGTGTATGTAGTGTGTGTGCCGTGCAGCATGCATGCAACACAGGGAATTGTGTCCAGCAGTGATGACTCGAACCAAGGTCTCGTCAAACGTGGTGGTCCTTTAGCTTCTGTTTTTTAATTGATTTGGCAGTGTTTTTTGATCAGCGTCACAAAAACTTTGAGAAAACTTGGTATTGTGAACATTCAGAGTTACAGGGGTATTTTTGTTCATAAAATTGTATTCTTTTAGCAAGAAAAAGTCAGCCTAGTGACAGGCCTACAGACCCGCCAACATTGCCACATTCCTTCCTGAGGTGGGGCATTACCACACAATAGATTAAAAAGTATTTAAATGAGCCTTCAGTTCATTCAAAATTTTAAACCATTGTGTGGTAATACCTGACCTCAGGAAGGAGTGTGGCATGTTGACAGGTATGGGTCTAGAGGCTTGAGTAGGAGGAATGTATTTTAAGCAGCTTAGATTAGGCATTTCAGATGATTTCCAAATTATTTCAGTACACAGTCAATTTATAGCAGATATGAAAGAGCATATCTTCAGGAGTTTAACAGGGAAAAAATAATTCCAAACGGTCAAGCGGTTCTCAAGATACATCCATTTGAATATCGCAAAACAACTGTCTAATATTGACTCCCAGGTCAAAGGTCACCCTTTGTTTTTCTTTATAAAGTAAATGGCACCAGGAAAAGCTCACTTAACCCTAACAGTCCCAAATCCTCCGATTTCAATATGATTTTACATACACCCTAGGGGGTTAGGGTTAAACAAGGTTTTTCTTCTGTTACATTGGAAGGACACATTTTATTTCTGTCAAACTTGGCATTCTTACAAATTTGCACATCACTACTACAAATTTCCACATTTAAAATACAAATGTATACCTGATTTGCATATTTAATTGATATAAATGTCAATAAACGAGATGTCCTGACTCCTGGCAGCTATATACTTCGATTAAATTTCTGATGTGGTGGTTACACATATGTTGGTAAACATTACTGTTTGTCTCATCTTAAATAAAGCCATTTTCTAATTAATTAATCAATATATGCAATGCGTAAAATTGATCAATTTGCATAAATAATTATTCATGTTTTTCAACAGTACAGCACCAATTATTGGGATTGTTGAGGATCAATGCCACGTGTACGGTATACTCCTAATGTATTTGACATACCCTGTACTCCTTAAAAACTACAGATGAAAGTTTAATTAAATGAAAATGATTTGCATATTACCTTTAATTTGAGAAAAAATTGGAACAAGACAACCTTAAGGAATTCCGCAAATATTTGCAGTAAGTAAAGAGAGTTGTGGATTTTTACAGCCCTTTGGGTGCAATGCCAACTGTCACTTTCATATCACAGAGCTTTGACTCCTATCACACCTGTGATTTTAGTTTTAGTATACTAACATTCTTGATATGGGTTTGCACTGGAAAGCTTTGTCCATCCTGAGCGAAGTGCCTCCGGTAGATACCAGCTTCCTTGGCATATGGTCCAATATCTAAAAAGTACACACAAAATAATAAGATCAAATATATAGCGTCTGCCATTAAACAAAAGTATAGATTATTTGTATGATTTATCATTAAAGGAAAAGAACAGGCAACAATTTAAAGGTTATTCTATATCACAATGATACTGATCACTATTGTTCTAGGCATGTTTCAAAAGTAGTCCTAAGTAGGAAAGTGTCCATAAATAACATGAAGTAAGTTACTTAGAAAGTTGCATTCTGCTAAAATTCTGTTCAAAATTGCAAAATGATTGGGTAACTTTAAAGAGAAGATTTTTCGAGATAGGCCTAGCAAACATTATTTTGGTGTGACAGGTATTTTTTTATGATCAACCTTAAATTGGTGTAGATCGACCGGAAAGTCTAAACAAAATCTCTAAGTTTACAAATTGGCTTTGCTTTCTTTGGTTATATTTTCCCCTCGTACTTTGATAAATAAACCCTATTGAACAATGTCACAGACACGTTAACGCGGTGTTCACTTCATGACGTGAACACCTGAACAGTTTATCACGAAATAGAAACCACCACATGAGATGATTTTACGGAGCACATATTCGTACAATGATGTCATTTTTTAACTTAAAAAAACCCATTACCAAGAGATTGGGAAACTTTTTACTCTTTAAGAATGGTATTAATGATTAATTTTGATGAGCTTATGATAAAAGGACTCGAAATATACGACGGTGATGATTCACGTTTACGAATTTCTTGAACTAGTCGGGCACCCAGACTCCCATTATTATATGTGGGGGCGCCGTCGAGTGGTACGCAGTCTAGATTTAACGTGAACGATTTCTCCGTGCAAACTGCTCAAACGTGGTCCGGAACAAATACATTTCCGGACGCTGTTACTTGGCCAATATTCTTAAAAACTCGTAATCATCAACTAATATAAATATATTTTATACTCACGATGTCACAAAACATAAGATCGTAAACTTCAAGGAGAAACACGGCGTTGAAATGTTGGTTGTGACGTAGCTTCTCAACCACTGGGCCGATTTCGATGTGACAAACACACAATGAACATGAATCCTTCCTCTTTCGGAAAAGACCGGAGGGGTTCGGGTAGCTTTCAAAACACGCTCCGGATT